CTAATGTCTACTTTTTTTTTTTAGGATTTTATTTATTTGTCAGAGAGAGAGAGAAAGAGAGAGAGAGATCACAAGTAGGCCGAGAGGCAGGCAGAGGCAGAGGGAGAAGCAGGTTCCCTGCCGAGCAAGGAGCCCAATGTGGGACTCGATCCCAGGATGCTGGGATCGTGACTTGAGCCGAAGGCAGCCGCTTAACCAACTGAGCCACCCAGGTGTCCCGTAATGTCTACTTTTTATTTTTGTTTTTATCACATTTTTTCTGAATGGCTGGTTACTTTTGATTACATGCCAGATATTTCAGTGCAGGGGTAATTTGAGATGCTGGATGATGTTAACTCTTCTCTGAGAGAGTTTCCTTTTGCTGCTACTCAGAAGTCAGAAAAACAAACTGTGACCACATTAATTCAATCAGAATCTAAGATCTGGATCTGGGAAATATTGTGAGACCTTGTGAAAGCTGGTCAACTTGAAGTTTGCTGCTACTTCTAAGATGTTGCCCTTTCCACTCCCTCCTATTCATTGCCAATTTTTGCTGTCGTAGCCACATGAATGTGCCAGTCACTTCTTAGCATCTCAGTATCAACCTTAGAAGTTGACAACTTCCTTAAAGTAGAAACCCTGAGTCTCATATGGTTTGTCTCCCTCTCTGATTTCTTCCTTTCTACCAGTCAGAATGGCAAAAAAGTAACAAGACAGGACACAACAAATGTTGGCAAGGATGTGGAGAAAGGGTGTGGAACACTTTTACACTGTTGATAGGAATGCAAGTTGGTACAGCCACTCTGGAAAACAGTATGGAGGTTCCTCCAGAAGTTAAGAATAGAGCTACCTTATGACCCAGCAATTGCCTACTGGGTATTTACCTCAAAGATACAGGTGTAGTGAAAAGAAGGAGCACATGCACACCAGTGTTCATAGCAGCAATGTCCACAATAGACAAACTATAGAAGGAGCTGAGATGCCCTTCATCAGATGAAGGGATAAAGAAGATGTGATCCATATATACAATGGAATATTACTCAGCCATCAGAAAGGATGACTATCTACCATTTATATCAACATGGATGGAACTAGCGGGGATTATGCTGAGTGAAATAAGATGAGACATCCAAACTGATAAGGAAGAAGACAAACTCAGTATTTGCAGACAGTATCATACTCCTTGTTGAAAACCTGAAAGACTCTGCCAAAAGTTTGCTAGGACTAATACAGGAATTCAGCAAAGTTGCAAAACCTGAAATCAACATACAGAAATTTGTTGCATTTCTATACACCAATAATGAAGCAGCAGATAAAGAAATCAAGGAATCAATCCCATTTACAATTGCACGAAACCCCATAAGATAGTCAGGAATAAACCTAACCAACAAGGCTTCTCAAGAGTCAGGGTTGCAGAAAAGGTGGTGGGAGGGGAATGTGGTAACTGGGTGATGGACATTAAAGAGGGCATGTGATATGATGAGCACTGGGTGATATACTCAACTAATGAATCATTGAACATTATATCAAAAAATATAATTTTTTGGCTAATTGAATTTAAATTTTAAACACAGCATGTGACCATTCTGAGAGTCATTTCACTGAAAAGGGTAATCAATTACATTTATCTTTGTTTTGATTTTTAATATGTTTAAACTTATACCTCATGTTTCTTCTAATATTATATATTAGCCATTTTTCTTACCTTTCTTTCTAACTAGTTTCTGTATAAATTATTGATATTTTTTCTTTCACTTTTATTCTCAGTATTTCAAAATTACACACTTATTAATCTAGTAGCTACTCTTAGATTTTTTTTAAGTTTTTAATTTTTTATTTCTTTTCAGCATAACAGTATTCATTGTTTTTGCACTGCACCCAGTGCTCCATGCAATCCATGCCCTCTCTAATACCCACCACCTGATTCCCCCAACCTCCCACCCCCCGCCCCTTCAAAACCCTCAGATTGTTTTTCAGAGTCCATAGTCTCTCATGGTTCACCTCCCCTTCCAATTTCC